AGGCGTCCCCCTGATGACATTTTTAATCAGTTCCTTTTGCTCCTACCTGAGGAATGGCTCTCACAGTAGTTTCTCTCATCTTTATTCCTACTGTCCTTGAACTCAGATCCCGAAAGAAGTTCTACTTCCTCAAACAACCTTCCTAGTAGCCCCAGCACTACATTCTGGGACAGAGTTTGGGGCTCTCACAGAGCTTTCATTTGCACCTGCTGGCTCATCTTCACCTCATCCCCTCTGTTCCTTTCACGTGTCAGCTCCCCTGATAGATTTCAAGCCTAAGATAACTCCTCTAACTCACATGCAAACAAAATCATAAAATACTTTCATTCTATTTTCTACATGACTTTTCTTTTGACAAGGTCTACTGTTCGAGAGAGGAAGCCAGATATGTACGTAGACACAACGCAATTTAGTAAGAGCCTCCACCGAGGCCCACATTGGAGGCAATCCCAGCTCTGCTGGGGTGTGGAAGGCTAGCGTATATGAATTAATTAGAGTAGCTGCCATTTTCTTTGTTTGCAGATGCCAAACTGTGCTCTACACTGTATGGACCTTATCTGATGTAAGCCACAGAGTCTTTGCAGTTCTCAGCTGGAGAGGGACACGATTAGGACCATGTCCGGGGTGGCACACGGAATGGGAGCAGAGCCAGGACCGCAGGCTGATGGTCTGCCTCCAGGACCTGGGGTGTGCTCTACAAGGCCAAGAGCTTCAGCAGGGGGCCTCTCTCTCCTTCCCGAACCTCCGGCGCTAGGGGCAAACGGCCAGGAGAGCACTTACAATCAATCGGGAGGTGCCCGCCGTGCTTAAGGACAGGCACCACGTCCTGCACATCCCTGGAGGCGCTCCGCCTCGCACGGTCCAGGCACTCATCAACGGCTTCCCCGGGAAATGACCACATCCGACACCCGGACTCAGCCCGCCTCACTCAACTCTCGCACCTTTTCCTCTTCCTCCTACCAGTCTGACTTGTTGAAAGAGCCACCCATCTACACGATTCCTCCCTTCTGACTCACACCTGAATCCGCTCCAGCCTGGCCCGTCCCCAGCACTCCAGCAATGCAACTCTTGTCCACCGAGGACCTCCGTGTTGCCCCAAGCAAGTGACATATCCCTCCTTGTCCCAGTAGGCCTCTGAGCGACGTTCAGCACACCTGCCTTCCCCCGCTTTCTTGAAAGATGCTCTCAATTGCCTTCATGATATCACGTGCTCCTTCATTATATCACACCTCCATGGCTCTCCAGCCAGTCTTCCCTCAGTCCCACCAACAAGTCAAGCTCCAATTTGCCACAGCGTGTTTGCCTAGAACACTGGATCCATCTGCTCTTCACATGGCTGCTTCCTTCTCATCCTGTGTGTCTCACGTGAAATCGCTCTTCAGAGAGGCCTTCTCTGGCTGCTCGGAGTTGCCTACCGTGCCTATTCTTTCCTTCCTATTACTAATATGCAGGATGTTCTTTTTCACTTCTTGGTTTCCATTTTTCTGTTACTGTTTTGTTTTTGTTTTCTTGGTCCCCATCTTCCATCCTAGGCTGTAACAATTTCTGCCTTATTTAGCTTTAAATATCTGGCACTAAGCCAAGTATCTGGTACATAATAGAACCTCAAGACTTAAATGAACGAATGGTTGAAATAATTTATTTTTTAACTAATTAGTCAAAAGTCGGGGATGAGGTCAAGGTCACAGATGATGGGTTAACCTGAAAAGGAGGAAGGAGTTGCTCCTGAGAAAGGAAGGTAAAGAGAATGCAGTCAGGAGGTGCAGAACATTTGAGAGGGAGGACGAGGAACCTGAGGGAGTTCACGTGTACCTGCTATCGTACATTATTGTCCCCAGGACCCATCACGAAGGGCAAAAAGCAGGTCTACTTTGTTGTATGTCATCCTCGTTATGCGGAGTACCTACCACAGCTCCTGGCACATAGTAGATGCTCAGTAAACACTGAGTGAATGAATGAAACAGGAAGAAAAGTAGTCTGCAGAGGATGACGGGCCTGGGAGCAGCGTTCGGGACTTGTGGAGGATATTTGATATTTGATACAGGTTTTGGTCTGCAGAACGTGGTAATGTTTCTCTTAAAGATGAATATCCAAATCTATAGCAAAATCTCTAATAAAGTACCATCTAAACTGACATAATCTCACTTTATCATAGAAAAAATAATTTTCTCTGGCAATACTTTGCAAGCTTTCTCATTAGAAATAAAAATTATGACTCCCAGTGATGACTTACGTCAACTTGGCTAGGCTGAACTAAGCCCTCACAGCTCCCTCTGTGAGACCGGTTGGATGGGCCTGGCTCTCACATTAGTGGATCAGTAGGGCTAATAGTGAGTGAAGGCACTAACACTTCCTTGCCTTCATGCCTGGACTCATGAATTGTGGCTACGAGAGAAACAGTAGCATATATCGGACACCGATTTAAAGCACATATCATATGGGGAGGGAGGCACTGCCTTATCCCTGCAAGGTGTTGCTACCTAGCTAGTACTGTAGCTGAGTCTTCAAAAGGTTACTCTAGCAGTCTATCCAGCCAGCTACTTCAAGATAATAGGGAACATGGCTAAACCAGTGAATTCCATGAGGATAGCCCCACTGCCACGTTTCATTTGTTGCAAAATTAGTTCCTTAGTCAGGAGTAATACTGTGTAAAAGAAATACCATGATGGTGGATAAGGCATTCTGTAAGTCCAGACTTCGGCAGAAGCATTGCATGCTGGGGAGACAAATCTGTTTTCATTGTGTCTGTTCCATTACGGAAAAGCATTGTCCCTTCCATGATGGAAGTAGCAGCATTATTCAAAATATCCAAGAAGTGGAAGCAACTCAAGTATTTATCAATTAATGAGTGTTTAAACAAAATGTGGTATATTCATACAGTGGAATGGTATTCAGCCATAATAGGAATAAAGTACTAATACATGCTACATGGATGAAATGTAGGCTTGAAAACATTAAATAAAAGCCAGACACAAAAGGCAATATATTATGTGATTTTATTTGTATGAAATGTCCAGAAATGACAAGCCCAGAGACAGAAAGATTAGTGGCTGCCATGGCCTAGAAGGAGGGGTAATAGGGAGTGACTGCTAAGAGTATGAAGTTTCTTTTTGGCATGATGGAAAAGTTCTGGAATTGCACAGAGGTGAAGACTGCACAACCTTGTGACTATACTAGGAACCCTTGAACTGAGTACTTAGGGTGAATTTTATGGTATGTGAACTGTATCTCAACTAAAAAATTGTTATGAGGAAAAAAATGTAAGTAACAGACTAGGGTCCAGGGGGGGAAAAGGAGAGAACATTCATCAAACAATGTGCATCGCACACATAAAATGGAACACTAGGCAGTCATTTCAGATAATATCCATGTTACACACGGGAGTTTTTAAAAATTGTTTAGTATTGGGACACCTGGGTGGCTCAGTCGCTTAAGCATCTGCCTTCAGCTCAGGTCATGATCCCAGGGTCCTGGGTTCGAGTCCCACCATCGGGCTCCTGGCTCAGTGGGAGCCTGCTTCTCTCTCTCCTCCCTGCTCATGCTCTCTTCTCACTATCTCTGTCTGTCTCTAAAAAAAAAAAAAAAAAAAAAAAAAAATATTGTTTGGTATTATCTTGATAAGACAACAAAAGAATCTGTTGTTTATCTTATGCACAGGGAATTTTCTAAAAAATATTACCATCTCCATATGAAAAAAAGAAAAGCAAAACTCTCGCTATGTTTAGTGTGAAATAAAAATATGTTTTGGTTAAAAAACAAAAACCAGGATTACAGGGATTGGCCAGAAGAATATCTGAATAATAGTACAAGTCATAATGGCTAATATTTATTGAGCTCTAATTCTAGTCCCAGTCGGCCACAACTCTATGGTGTAGATTTTTTTTTCAGATGAGGACACGGGGGGACAAAGAGATTGAGTAAGTTGCTCAAGGTCACAGATATCACTGGTAAAGCCAAGATCTGAACACAGGCAGGCCGACTTGAGGCTCCTCCCTTAAGCTACACCACTACTTCCTTGGGCAGTATTAATAAATAATAGTAAGACTCCCCAGTTCTCTGATGGAGACTTACAGTTAATAAGCCAGGCAGAGAAAAGCCTCCACTGCTGACAGAATCGTTTCGGGGAGAAACGGAAATGTTTCTGGTCTAGGCAAGACCTAGCCCGGTTTGTGGGCAGGTTAGCAGCAAGGTTGCATAGAAAGCCCCAGCCTGTTCACAGCTTGGACTCTGCCTGGCATTTGGGCCACCATCTGTATGGGCCCTGGGCCCTGTGGATCTCACTATTGGGTAAGTGTGGACGTGCCATTCTCCCCTGTACCCCAGGTTATAGTTGGAGGGCTGCCTGGAGGTTAGAGATTGAGGATCCTTCAGTACTTTTTATACAAGGACCTTGACTTGAATAACAGATTAAGTCTACGTGGTTAGGGGATCCAAGGAATATCTGAGCCACAAGGTCCCCAGTGGGGCAAAGTTTCAAGGGCAGTAGGAAGCAAGTTTTTGTTGGCTCAAGCTTGCCTCCAAACATCGAAGCTGAACTCGGGCCAGCCTGGGCTGCACTGCTTTGGCTGCTTCTCCTCCACAGTCCCCAAGGTCGTAAAGGCTGTTCTAGTCGGGCACCCGCTAGCATTGGAGGGGGGCAACCAGAGAGCCTGAGCTGGTGTTTGACACAGTCGGAGGCACACTTCACAGAAGGCTTTCTCCAAAATTATTTAAGCCTAAATAAACTGAGGACAGAACCAGCTGTGACTGGCTCTACTTCACTTCCTTTAATTAGAGTAAAGCTCACTTGTAACAAAAATTCAGAGGCTTGGGCGCCTGGGTGGCTCAGTCATTAAGCGTCTGCCTTCAGCTCAGGTCAGGATCCCAGGGTCCTGGGATCGAGCCCCATGTCAGGCTTCCTTGCTCAGCGGGGAGTCTGCTTCTCTCTCTCCCACTCCCCCTGCTTGGGTTCTCTCTCTCACTGTGTCTCTGTCAAATAAATAAAATCTTTTAAAAAAAAATTCAGAAGTTTAAGGAATACAAAAATTTATGTTTCGCTTAATGTGGCAAGTAATCCACTTGCCAGGGGCCTTGGCTCCTTCCAAGTTGCTGCTTTACCAGACTTTAGACTGAGCCTTGCTACCCAGAGGGTGATCCAAGGAAGCATCACCTGGAAACCTGTTGGAAACGTAAAATCTTAGGCTCCACCTCAGATCTCCTGTGGCAGCCGGAGCCAGTTACTTAACATGTGGGTCCCAATGCAAAATAAAAATGTGGAGATCCTTGTTCAGAAATTATTAAAAATTCCAAGATGGTGGTGGGACGCCTGGGTGGCTCAGTCGGTTAAGCGTCTGCCTTCGGCTCGGGTCATGATCCCAGGGTCCTGGGATCAAGCCCCGCATCGGGCTTCCTGCTCAGCAAGGAGCCTGCTTCTTCCTCTCCCTCTGCTTGTGCTCTCTCTCTCTCAAATATATACATAAATAAAATCTTTAAAAAAAATACTTAAAAAAAACAAACAAACCTGACACTAAGTCACTAAACCCAGGCTTTACCTATGGATAACAGGTATAAATATTGCCCACATCACTAGAGGGAAACATCAATTTGAATATTCACATTGATTCAGAGTTGCCCGTCTGGAAAAATGTATTACTTGGGCAAGATGGGAAAAACACTATCTGGGAAAACATTGTCTGTACTTAGGACACAGTGGTGCCAGTCTGTATTTTTCTAAGCCCTCTGGAAAGAATTACCAAGTAGGAATTTTTCCAGGCTGCTTCTGTGATCTGTATTTGATCCATTAGACCAGGGCTGACTGGAAACTCCAGACTCCACACAGCAGCACTGGGTTCCAACTCTGTAGTGTTATTCAGGAAGTTTAGGGGTATGCAGATTTCTTCTAAATGAAGGGTTAGGAAAAGCTCTGACCCCACTCTAAAGTTACTGTTTCCTGGTGCGAAGAGAGATTTCAGCCCCTTGTTTATGTTATCTGTAAAATAACCCAAATTGACATGTGGAATCTGAAGGCACCGAACCCCAATGGGATTTAGCAGGTGGGGGACTGGGGCGAAGGACACTTCAGGGTTTAAGCAGGGGTCCAACCAGAGGCCCACATGCAGAGTGTATCCACGAAACAGAGAATCCAGGATGAGAGACAAACTCTCGAACTGAGGAACTGAATTTGGAAACAAGTCAGAGAGGGCCTTCAATGACAAGCTCAAGGATTCGGGCTTTATTCTGAAAGCAGAGGGGAGCCACCGAAAGTTTCTGATTGGGAAGAGGTGTGACTAAGGCCGTGCCTCAAAAGGACAAGAACTCTGGCAGTGGACCTCTCATTAACTTCCCATGAGACCAAGACGGGTTTATCTGTAAACCAGGGTCACTCTCTACCTAAATCTAGCAACAATGTGGGGGTAGGAGGCCGGCTGAGGATTGTATTAGACCCTTGATCTACAGATCCCAGGCCTGGGGCAGGATCCCCGACTCAGTATTTTTCACAAGCTCCTGTGCTGACTCTAATGTGTGGCAGGGCTGTGAATCACCTGCCCTGGGTGATGCCTAGGTGCTTGTATTTTAGGGCGCTGAGACTGAGTGGTGGTGGCGGGTGGCGGGGGGAAGGCAGTGTTTACAAGTGAAGAAAGAAAGGTCACTAGGACTGCTCCGACTGTCTAGGCAGGCAAGAAGAAATGAGAACGTGGACTGGCAGCAAGAGAGATGGCGGGGGGGGGGGGGAGGGCGGACGGGGAATGACCAGTGGAAACCACCACCAACACAGAACTGAGAGGATTTCCCTAGCGGTGGCTAGGGAAACGTAAATGAGGGTTGAGGAGGGGAGAGGCAAGGACGATCACAAGGTTTGGAGCCTTGGGCAGGACAGGGACATTTAACACATACAAGGACATTCTTACCTTCAGTTTTGGTGCTCCCACTCTCCCGGGTTCGTATGAACCAGCTTACCCGGGTCTGATCACTTCTGGGTGCAAGGATCTTCCAATCCTCTCACACAACAGCTAACACGTGTTCCTGGGCACCGTCACAAGCTTTACTGCCCTGCACTTTAGTCTCACGTGTCACCAAGAGATGGCTCTCCCTGTACTCTGTGCCAGGCGCCTGCTCCGTGCTTCACATTCATCACATTCATGACCTCCGTCACTTCTCAAACCATCCTGAGTGCTACTACCATCCCCATTGTTTAGAAGAGAAAACGGACACAGAGAAAAAAGTAACTTCCCCACAGTCATTTATAAGGAGACAGAGCAGCATTCAAAGCTAGACAGCCCTCCTCAGCACCAAGCTCTTAGCCACTACGCTACCCTGCAGCCTGTTGAAAGTGAGGCCACCATGAATCACTGTCTGTAATTTTTAGGCCAGTAAAAGATACAGGTTGTATTGGAAAACACTGCCTAATATCCAACTTGACTGTTCAAACTTCAGTGTTTCACCGAAGGGGATTTTTGCTGCTTGCTTGGTTTACTTTGGAAAATAAATTCAGATGATGTGATTTTTATTCTTTTTTTAATGCTAGAAATTTCTCTGTGCCCCTTTGGCAAATGAGGATTGCCGTAAGATGCCTTAAAACAATCCGTCAGGAAATGATCGCACAATTGGGCCAGTTCAGGCTGTGTCCTTCTCCTGAGATTTCTTCTGGGCCCTCTTCTGGACAGTCATTATGTAGTGACAGAAGCTGACGGACAGTGAAGGGAGGGGTCTTGCTCCTTACCTTAGTACAGACTCACATTCAACATAATCCACTACAGCCAAAACCCAGGTGATGCTAGTGGGAAGGTATGATACTGTGATTGACGGTTCAGAAGTCCGTATTTGGTCTTCCTCCCATTTCTGGTACAGAGCTCCTAAAACCCCTGGAATGTCCTAAGTGATGAACGCCACAGAGATGCCTTGCAGTACTAACGAGGTGACATTTGGACCGCACCTAAGGATGGGGGCTGGCTGCCGGTGATTCAGAGGATCGGGACTTTCACGCCCAGCCCCCCAAGCCCCACCCCTGACCTCAGTGGGAGAGAGGGGCTGAGTTCGATCACCAGTGACCAGTGATTTACTCAACCATGCTCTTGTAACGAAGGCATAAAAAACCCCAAAGAACTTGATTCAGAGAGCTTCCGGACTGGTGAACATGGGGCGATTTGGAGAAGGTGGAGCTTGGAGCAGGCATGGACGCTCCTGACGCTTTCCCCCAAATCTTGCCTTTTGCATCTCTTCTATCTGGTTGTTCCTGAGTTATATCCTTATATAACAAACTGGCAATCTATTAAACAAACTGTTTCTCTGAGTTCTGGGAGCTGCTCTAGCAAATTAATCAAACCATCAAATCCAAGGAAGGCGTCGTGAGGACCTCTGATGTACAGCCAGTTGGTCAGAAGTATAGTTAACAACTGGGACTTGCAATTAGTGTCTGAAGTGGAGGGCACGGGGTGGGGGGATGGGGTAACTGGGTGATGGACATTATTAAGGGGGGCACGTGATGTAATGAGCACCGGGTGTTATGTAAGACTGATGAATCACTGACCTATACCTCTGAAACCAGTAACACATTATATGTTAATTAACTGAATTTAAATTAAAAAAATAATAAAATGGAGGGCAGTCTTTTGGGACTGAGCCCTTCACCTGGGGGATCTGATGCTACCTCTGGGTCAGTAGTGTCAGAATTGGGTTGAACTGTAGGTCACCCGATTGGTGTCAGAGACCTGCTTGGTAAGGGGAAATACCACACACACCCAAACACACACCCCCCCACCACACCCACTGTTGACCAGAAGTGTTAGGTTTTCTACGCTCCCCAAAACCCTAAGGAACTTTGAGAAGCCTCCTTTCTCTGACAATCTCCTTCAAGCCCTCTGGTCACATCATATCCGAATACCATGTGGAAGTATGACAGCCATTTCTGTCTGTAGCTCTCTGGCTGTGTTACGAATGAAAAAAAGAAGTGAATCATGCAACGTATCCAATGCTTTTCTTACTCCACACTGAGTCTACCCCACACCTTCCCGCAAATTGTTCACAATAAACTCGTGTTTATTGAGTTCATTTATGTTAACAGATACAGGTCCCTTCAAATAAAAACAGATTTTACATTTATTATTAATGTAACATGCTATGTAAATGTACAGGAGCCTGAGGAAGGCATTCTAGTACCTGGCACAGCGCCTACTACAGTGTTTGTTAGTACTTAGCTTTCCTTTATTATGGCTTTTAAAAAATAGTTTTTAAAAAAGTGCATGATTCCTTTGGACCACTGTTCAGGAAAGTTTAGAGATAAAACCTTTCCAGTCATTTGCATACAGGTTCAGATTAGAAAAAGTCAAATACTGAGAGAAAATATATTTTCAATTAGCTCAATTTAAATATGGGGTCATTCCATGTAAATATCTCATCTGAATTTTCAGTGTTTCACTTATTTGATGTGCTCATTCCATTCCGCTAGGTCTTATTTCAGTACTTTCTCAACTATTCCAGATAAGATATAAAAAGAATTCAACCCCTGTCAGTTATTTTATCTGTCTTCATGCAACCAGGATGAGAAACTTCTGCTCTCTACACGAGTCACGATAATTCCCCCAATCCACTAGCAAGGAGAAAATAATACTGTAGTTCAGAATAAGGCCTGCATGGCTGTGAACTTGCAAATTCTGATTCCAGAGCACTTCATTTCAGCAAACAAGGCCTGATTCCTGTCAAAATTCAACCGTGGTTGACAAACACTGAGGTCACAGATAGAGCCACAAATGCAGAAGTTATAGACACTGACTAAAGTACCCCCGGTAACGTGGCAGGGTTTTCAGGTGTACCTTTCCTTCAACAGCAAATGCACTCAGGAGGTTCAGGAGCATGGTTCAGTTTTTCTCAAAGCATTGTGACATTTGCTGAATCTTCTTCCACTAGGCCTGCTGAGACCAGAGAAACCGATCACATTTTTCAAGCATGCTTTGTATCAAGGCTCTGAAATCCGAAAGAAAAGAAACAGGTGCACTTAGTTTTCATTGTTTTTTCTTTATAAAAAACTTCTTAAAACCTACAAAGAATGAAAGGATTCAAAAAACTGACCGAGTCTGTGCATCAAAAGACACGGTCAATGGAGTGAATCATGTATCTGATAAAGGGTTAATATCCAGAATATACAAAAAATTCATACATCAAAAAAACAATGCAATTAAAAAATAGGCAATGGACATGAATAGACAGGTCTCCAAAGATGATATACAAACAGCCAGCAAGTGTATGAAAAGATCCTCAACATCATTAATCATTAGGGAAATGCACATAAAAACCACAGTGACTTCTCACCTCATGCCCATTAGGGACGGCTACTGTCAAAAAGAAAATAACTAGTGTTGGTGAGAATATGGAGAAAATGGTACACTTGTGCACTACTCGTGGGAATGGAACATGGTGCGACCCTTATGGAAAACAGTATGACAGCGCCTCAAAAAATTACAAATAGAATTCCATGTGTTCTAGCGATTCCACTTCTGGGTACACACCCAAAAGAATTAGAAGCAGGGTCTCAAAGAGACATTCGTATATCCGTGTTCAGAGCAGCATTACTCATAATAGCCACGAGGTAGAAGCATCCCCAGTGTCCATAAGACAGATGAATGGATAAACAAAACGTGGTATATCCACACCATGGAGTATTATTCAACCCTAAAAGGGAAGGAAATTCTGGCACATGCTGTAATATGAATGAACCTTGAAAACATTATGCTAAGTGAAATAAAAGCCAGTCACAAAAAGACAAGCACCATATGAATCCACTTATGTAAGATACTTATAATACAGTAGTCCTCCCTTATCCACAGTTTTGTTTTCTATGGTTTCAGATACCCATGGTCCACCATGGTCCAGAAGCAAATGATCCTCCTTCTGATATATCATCAGAAAGTTAGGAATAGCCTAACACTACGTCATAATGCCTATGTCGTTCACCTCAGTTCATCTCATCACATGGGCATTTTCTCATCTCACACCATCACAAGAAGAGGGGTGAGTACGGTACAGTAAGATATTTTGAAAGACAGAGAGAGAGGAATGGAGAGAGAGAGAAAGACCACATTCACATAACCTTTATTACGGTATGCTGTCTTAACTGTTCTATTTTATTAGCTATTATTAATCTCTTACTGTGTCTAGTTTACAAATTAAACTTCATCATAGGTATGCACGTATAGGAAACAACATAGTACATATATGGGTTCAGTAAATCCATGGTTTCAGATTTCCACTGGGGGTCTTGGGGAACATATCCCCCTTGGATAAGGGGAGACTACTGCAGTCAAAATTAGAGACAGAAAGCAGACAGGTGGTTGCCAGAAGCTGCACGGAGGGGGTAATGAGGAGTTGTTTAATGCGTAAAGTTGAAGTTTTGCAAGATGATATGGATATACTTAACACGACTGAACCAAACACTTAAAAATGGTTAAGATGGTAAATGTTACGTTACCTGTATTTTACCACGATGAAAACAAAAACCAAAAAAGTCCTGAGACAATTTGAACTTTGGTACTAGTAACTGTCTTTGAGAACTACTACATGTCAACTTTGGGTATTCACACTGATCTGCACAGTGTCTCGGTCATGACTGTGAAACACGTTACTTTAGGCTCATCCCTCAATCGCCTTCATCAGCAGATGAGTCTCAGCCCCCTCAGCTGTTAGTGACCAGCTGGGGCTGAATGATCTCTAAAAGCTCCATCCCCCTTCTGAAAATCTGTGAGCATCTACGTTCCCCAAGCCCCTGTGGAAAGGGCATGACAAGTATTACCTCTGCCTTTTCTCAGCAATCCTTAGGATATCGCAGGTTCTGGTAAACCTCTCTGACAGCTCCAGGGTCAAACCACATTCCTGTAGCAGTGACCAGGCCCGATCTGGGCCCATGGCCTTAGCTAACAGGAGTGCCACATTCTCCACGTTGATGGGGGGAGGCCCATCACTGAAGTTTCCATTTGGCGACTTCTGGGGGTTCGTGCTCTTGTTCTGTACGAGATGTAGCAGAAGCTTCCATTCCTCCACAGTCTCTGGGATCCAACCTACGCACACATACAGAAACACACACGTCGGCTCTAATGGCCCTTAGAACTCTGCCTGTGTATAGGAGATGGTCAAAACCGCTTGTGAAAACGTTTACTACCAAAACCTAAGAACGTACCTCATCATCCTAACACAAAGTTGCTTTCTGAACATTTGCTGAATAAATAATGATAAGGAGAAGTCACAAAATTAGTTCCAAAATTCTTCATTCACTTGCTCACTCAGGAATTTCCCAGGTATAGTCTAGGCTAGGCACCCAAGGTGCAGTGAGGGACCAACCAGACATGATGAGCCCTGCACTCTTGTGGAGCTCACAGTCTAGTAAAGGGGGCAGAACCTTAGAAAAACACAGAGATAAATCTGTACGTATAAACTGGGCTCGGTGCGATAAAAATCAGGGAACCAGGGTCCCTGGGTGGCTCAGTCCTTAAGCATCTGCCTTCAGCTCAGGTCTTGAGTCCCACATCGGGCTCTTTGCTCGGGGGGAGCCTGCTTCTCCCTCTGCCTGCCACTGCCCCTGCTTGTGCTCTCTCTCTCTAATAAATAAATGAAGTATTAAAAAAACAAAAAGATCAGGGAACCATTAGAGAGAATGGCAGGTTTGGGGGAGGATCTGAGAAGGGCTCCATTAGGATGGGACAGGTAAGCAGAGAGTTTAAAGACCAGGCAAGCTTAGAGAGCACGTGCCTGTGGCTCACATACGGGCAGCTTGAGGTGGCAGGGCGTCAGGAACGGAAGGTGAAGGAGCCTGCATTTCCGGCAAAGGAAACATGGAAGGTCACTTGAGACAGGACAGACCTTGAATTCAAGGAACTCAAAGAAAGGCCTACAGTGCACAAAGGCCTGGATTTTATTCTGAATTCCACGTAAGGCGCTTCAAGGAGGAGAGCCACATCACCCAATTTTTGTAAAAGAACGCTTCTGGCTGCTATAGGGCAAATGGATTAAAGGTGGGAGAGAATGGAAACCAGTCGACTAATTCTGAGGTTACTGCCGCCATCTAGGCAAGTAGCTAGGACCGGAGCTGGTGGTGGAGCAAAAGTTAAGTACACAGATCTACATTTGGCAGTAAAACCAACATGCCTTGAAGAGTGATTAATATGAGTTATGGGGAAACAGAAGTGTCTAGAAAAGACCCCCATTTAATATACCAAGGGTAAGAACAGCTGCTATTATTACTTTACCAAAATATTCAGACTATCTGGGCAGAAAAGATTTTAAGTGATACTTATTTTCTTTATGCTTCCCGAATTTTCAGTGTTTATCTATTACAATAAACATCGTGTTGTAACTTGAAAAATATAAGCCATGTCTATCTTAACTATTCTGGTTATTTTTCAGGAGCGTATCCATGTCTACAGCTCTAGTCCGGCAGAACCACCTGGCCCTCTTCTTCATTTCTGAAACAGATGATCTCAGTAATTTTTGCAATAGTTGGGACATCAGAAGCTAACACTTGCCAGTCAATTGGCTTCCCTGCCCTGTTCGAACTTTCCCTCTCCTACACCAACAGGGCTGAACAGGCTGTAGGTCACACTGCTGAATAAAGGACCCCGATGTCACGCACTTGGCATCTTTGCACTGAGACGAATAAAGCAACACTACAGAACAGCCAAGACAGAGTCTCAGGCCTCAGATATCAGTGTGTCAAAGCGTGGCCTTCTGATTATCATTTTATCTTTGTTGGATTGATGAAAATTTTAAAAAAAAAATTATTTTTTAAAGATTTTATTTATTTATTTGACAGAGAGAGCGATAGCGAGAGCAGGAACACAAGCAGGGGGAGTGGGAGAGGGAGAAGCAGGCTTCCCGCTGAGCAGGGAGCCCGATGTGGGGCTTGATCCCAGGACCCTGGGATCATGACCTGAGCCGAAGGCAGATGCTTAGCGACTGAGCCACCCAGGCGCCCCCCAAATTTTTTTTAATTATCTAAATACCTGTGAAGGCTTAGGAAAAGCTGACTGCCAGTCCACTTTAAGTTCATTTGGATGATATCTAACTTTTGGCTGTGTAAAAGCCTAGTGCTGAGAGAAGAATCTGAACACAAACTTTAGAGAGAGTCAGACCTGGGCCTGAACACTTGCTCCACCAGTGGTATGGCTTTGGGGAAACTGACTCTCCTTCCTCTAGGCCTCAGTTATGACTTCTGTAAAACAGAAATAACAGGAACTACGCCAACGGCTTGTTATCTCATTTAAACGGCAAACGAAAAAGGACCTAGCAAAGTGCCTAACGCACAGGAAGCATTCGTTAATAGAAAAGTTATTATGATTTCATAATATACTACGTGGTATAGATAAACGAACAAAACAAACAAACAACAACAACAAAACAAACCTCTAGGACGCCTGGGTGGCTCAGTTGGTCAAATGTCTGCCTTCGGCTTGGGTCATAGTCCCAGGGTCCTGGGATTGAGTCCTGCATCGGGCTCCCTGCTCAGCGGGGAGCCTGCTTCTCCCTCTCCCTCTGCCCCTCCCCTTGCTCCTGCTCTCTCTCACTCACTCTCTCTCCAATCAAATCTTAAAAAACAACAAGAAAAAACAAACCTCCACAAATCTGACAGCTAGCTGGAATTATAGAATTACATACAGGATCATCAAAATGTTCACCAAATTTCTTTATTGAAAAGTCTGCAGTGACTTCTAAAATAGTACAGCCAAGAGTAACCAGTTGGGATTTACATACCATTGTCCCCTTCCATCAGGCTCATATCATTTAGGCACACAATGTTGGTGAAGGCCTCTCTTCTTCTTTCCAGCTCCAAACAAAGAGAAAGATATCCAGGCCAGAAACTTTAATTTAGAGAACCAAGTGGAAGAAAGGAATCAAAACAGTGAATTTATCTGGAGCTGTGCTGTCCAATAGAGTAGATGCTAGCCACATGTGGCTACTTAAATTTAAATTAAGTAAAAAGTTCTTCAGCTGACCAATCCATATTTCAAGCTTTCAATAGCCTAAGTGGCTAGTGGCTACCATATTGGACGATGTAGTAGAATATTTCCATTATCATAGACAGTTCTATTAGACAGCCCCATCTGGAGTGTTTAAGAAAAAAAAGAATAAAAGCTAGAGATAAATACTGACATTTGAGGCCAAGCACCAATTATGAAATATGTAACCTTAAATACTTTATAAACTTTCAGATTTCTCCCCCAAATATGCAAACTATGGAAGTTTTCCTTGACTCTTCGCCCTCCTTCATTTGCTATACCCGTTGTCTTTAAGTCTCACTACATTTTTCTGCAGAATGTCCCATTTCTTTCTCATGTATGACACCAGAAATGATCTCCAGAAAGCTCCATTTTTATCATGTCATTTTTGTACCAAAGTCTAAAAGGTCTCTACTGATAGCTAAATTCTTCTGATGAGCTTTCAAGGTCCTACATGATCTCATCACCCACCACACCCGACTAGTCTCATCTCTTATTATCAATGAACAAATATGTATCAAGTACCTACCACGAACTGAGGCATTATGAGGAAAAAGGAAGACACAGGTCCCTAGCTCCAGAAGATGATAATCCAGGTGGAGCCATAAGGTAACACGGCCAAGCAATAAAGAACCGATACGTGGTCCAGACAAAAAGCAATGTCAGTTTCTCCTGCTCCTGATGTTTCTCTCGCCTGCCCTGCCCTCCTCTTGGGCTCCTTTATCAATACAAATCCTGTCCAGCCTTCAGGGCTTTCACCTCCAAAGTCTCACCCCCTCCTGAAGTCCTTCACCAGCACTTCTACTGAGCACATTCTGATCTCTCCCTTCTTGAGAACCCTGCATCAATTGTAACTTATCACACAGTCTGGTGCTTAATTAAATACCACCTCAGTGCCTGAGAACTGGGGCTAGCTACTAAGGACCAGGGGGAGAGAGGAATTAGCAAGGGCCGTCTCTTCTACACAAAGAAAAAATATGCACAAAATTTAAAAAGATGTTTACTCTACTATCACTTAAAACAAAAGGTACTTTTCCATAGTAAAGAGAATTCCCAAATGATAAAGCATACCAACTCAAGTCCTTTGCTACAGAGCTATTAACTAAGATGATTCTAATCTTAACTTCAGCTTCTAAAAAATTCTCACTTACCCATGAGACTTACAGATGTCAGTCATTTTCTCTTTGGTTGTAAAATCTGCAGGTAGTTTAATGAGATGAAGCATCAGCTGGCTATAACCCCACGAACACAAGTGTGAATGAGGCCTGTGAAATGAAAAGCTCTCAGTAAATGGAATAGGAAATACATTCTACAAAATGTTTATTCATCATCTAATAGGTAAGAACAGAGTTTAATTTTATTTGTTCCATTACTATTGTATTTTTCAAACATTTCTACTTGCCTTTTGAAAAATTAAAAATAGCTATTTTTCCTATACAAATACCTGTTTATTTTTTATTCTATTTTTTTTTTAAAGCTCTTTATTTATTTGTCAGGGAGAGAGAGCGCGCGCACAAACAGGGCAAGGGGCAGGCAGAGCAGGCAGAGGGAGAAGCAGGCTCCCCGCCGAGCAGGGAGCCCGATGCGGGACTCGATCCCAGGACCCTGGGATCATGACCTGAGCCAAAGGCAGATGCCCAACCGACCTTTTTTAAAGGCCTTCTTTATCACCAGTCTACAGTGGTACTTGAAATTTCTCTGTGGTTCTGTAAACATTTGGTGCTTGCTTGCTTGCTTATATGTCCTTAAAGTTTTGGGAATAGTTTGCTGGTTGACTGAGGTTATTAATCACAATATTCAAATATGTAATTTTAATTTATGTCAATTCTGTTTTTCCAGTAAAATCGATTACCTGTTTATTTTTTAAAAATAGACATTTTAAGTAATCAAAAGCAAAGGAAAGAAGCCTATAATTCATTCATCACTCACAGACAGCCATTGTATGTCCTTCTAGAGCTTTTGTCTAGGCATATAAGATAGGCACTTTGGGGGGCTTTTAAAAAGCTTCTCCTAGAGGAAAACACAAGGAACATTTCTAATACATTACATGTATCAGTGCGTATTTTTTTATGAATAGTTTTTTTTCTTAGTCCCAAATCAAGCTATGTCTAGAAATTTTCCAGGAAAAAAACATACAATTTTCTCCCTCTAATACAGATTGAATCATCAAGGACTCTTAATGTGGATCCATGAAAGAGCTTCAGGGGGTCAGTTTAACCTGAAATCATGTGCAAAATTGTGCAGGGATATGCATTTTTCTGAGAGGAATCATCAGATTCTTGTAAGATCTGTAAGTCCAAAAATGTTCAGAACCACTAAGAAGTACACTCAGTCTCATTACTATCGTGACTTGAGTCAGTCTCTTCCACAGCTGTTCCTGAAGAAAGCCCAGAATGCTACATGTGAATAAAGCCATTTCATTCCAGAAGAACATCACAGCTTAGACAGAGAACTTCTGTACCTGGGGTTTCCTTCATTGTCCATCGTGCTTGTGCTTGGGGGAGCATCGTGGGACACGGCCCAAAGCAGCCAATCCAATCTCAAAGACTCTGGTTGTAGAAGGGACTCAAGGAAGGATGGCCTAAAAGAAAGTTGGAGACAAAATCACCAATCTTCACGCTGAGAAAAGAGACCTAAAATGTGGGAATGTGAAGAAAATGTTATTAGGGGATCAAAATAGTAGATGAAAATGCTCTGCTACAAGATGTCTAGAAATGCAGGTGAAAATCTGACAGCCTTTTAAATGAACAGGTGAGCTCAAGATAACAAGGAAAATGTCAAAGGGCCAAAAAAACGAGGGACAGAGAGAGGAAGGAGGCCAGTATGGCACATGTAAATCAATCAGAGGAAAAAAGGTGGTGGTGGTGGGGGGGGGGGGGATGTTGCTACTTTCAACAACCAAGGGCCATGCAGAAATAGGCAATGAGGCCTCAATCTAAAAAAGCAGCAAAGCTGGAACTGAGATCCACAAAAAGATGAGACCCCGCAAAAAGCTGGGATGCTATCAACAAGGAGGTGGCAATAAATCCACTCACCAGCCCAGACAACAAGGAAACTTACCTGTCTTAGCGGAGGACCTGAAGCAGGGCTTTAAATTTACTCTGATCATCTGAGAATCCCTGGGGGGGTGGGGGGGGGGGAAGAGAATGTGGTCTGCACACATTTACAGTGCGTGCTGTGGACTGTGACAGAAGGGTAATGACTGTAATCATCCTCTTCCATAGTAGGGGCCTCAGCTCGGTGGCAGTTGGCAGTAAAAACGTTACAATGGCTTCTAAAAGGGAAACAATGCCCTATCAAAGCAAAGGGGAGTCTGCAAATGTTCTCGCCTTCTCACCGTTGATCTTCAGGCCCCGATTTCACCAGACTGTCTAAATAGGCCAAAAACTGAGCAGGATGATGATGACAAAGTTGCATGACATCCGAAGGCAAAACAGATGGGTAAAACCTGATTAAGGACCGAAGGGCAGATTCTCCAAACTTCTCATACAACCTGCATTTAAAAACAAGTTAGTCCCCAACTTCAGTGAGATGATGTAACTTGGTTACATGTCTAAGCACTTATTAGAAATAAAAATAACAAGGCAACTGAGTAAAACTTTAGAGATTAAGACACAAAAAAATACGCGCTTTATTCATATAAACAACATATATGACAACTTACCGGGCAGCATAAGCAATCAACAAAGGATTGTCAAAGGGAACTGAATCATTCAATAACTAATCATGTTGGTAAGTCTCCTTCTTCCATCTCCATATATGCAGGATTGGAACTTGCCATTTCTGAAAGATAAAGCACACCTTTTCCTTTCATCTCATAGCTATAAATATTCAGTTCATGAATACATTCATTCAACAATCATCAGTCATGGACCTCCTGGGTGCCTGGCACAATGTTTAAGCAGTGAAGGACAAAAAAAAGAACAAGACACACAATCCCTACTTTTAAAGACCTTAAACTCAAATTGGGAGGCAAAGCACATTTTAATTTTTTAAACAAGAGAAGAACACATAACCAATATATAAGCCACTATCACCCTCAAAAAAGGTAACATATATTAGAATATATGTGTTATATACTAAATCAATAGAATATATATATCTGTGTATATATATATATATGTACACACGTATATATACAGTATATATCATCAAGGCCAAATTTGTCATTTTTCCTAGAACCAGTGCCCTCTAGCCCATCTGTTTGAACAAAATAAAGTTAAAATTTCACCTATTTTTAATAAACATCAGTTACAGCCAAGTGTGAGTGACGATCTAGTTAAAACTACTTGTAGTTTAAAGTATATATATATAATAATACACACACACATGAATCTACAGTGAGGTTTTTGTTTTTGTTTTTGTTTTTTTAAAAGATTTTATTTATTTATTTGAGACAGAGAATGAGAGAGAGAGCACATGAGAGGGGGGAGGGTCAGAGGGAGAAGCAGGCTTCCCCCTCTGAGGGTTTTTTTTTTTTAAGATTTTAAGTAATCTCTACACCCAACGTGGGGCTCAAACCTACAATCCAGAGATCAAGAGTTGCATGTTCCACCGACTGAGCCAGCCAGGAGCCCCTAAAATGAGTTTTTTGAAGTAGTTTTCAACTGGCTCTGAAGACCATTCCCCAAGAACAGTTCCAAAAGCTGTTTTCCTTAACTACATCATTAGCAAAAAGGTGGAACCTGTTCAGATCATTTCTAAAAACCCAACCTTGCATTTCTGATACATGGTTTTTAAAAATCATTTTTCCCCAGTTTCATTATTGCGCCTATTTGATTGTGTCAGGCAGTAAGTACTTGAACAAATTCAGAGAAGGCAACCATCATTTACAGCTGGAGATGTGAGGGCAAGCTTTATAACTGGGTGGGAGCTAAGCCAAACATCTCCCCCTAAATTCAAGCAAGCAGCTGCATCATCTCAAAGTACCCAACCCACTGGCTCTAGCCAGCTCTGGTTACAAGTTAACAACCCCTCAGGCTGATCATACTCTTTTCAGGTTGGGTGTGATCACATAAGAGACAGATATTGCAAAGTTCCAGTAAGTAACAACGTGAAAAAAAAAAAAGTAATGTGAAACATAATAATGTGAACCTACTGGAGGAGAAATAAATTTTCTTATTTCATGTAAAAGACAGTCTACCTCAACTCAGAGAAAGACTGAAATCATTTCTTATGCTTTTAACTGCTAAATGTGAACTGAAGCAGAACAATAACTACAGATCATGTTTCTAGAAAACTTGAAGATCTTTAAGTCAGACAATATAAAAATGTATCTGTACTTGTGATTGTTAACTTTTGATAAATCAATTATTCAAAAACGGGTCTATACAGTGGAAAAAGCATGCATGGTCTGAAGTATGAGAGCCGGTTTCCATAGGAGGATGACACACACTTTCAGTCACGTGTGAAATGGAGACTGCTGTTAATCCACCAAAATCCCTGAGACGTGCAAGCTCTTCACCCGTACCATTCCCTTCCTTCTAGACACCTGGATAGCTTACATTTCCCAGTCTCTTTCACAGGTAAGGAGACCATGTGATAAAATTCTCACCAATGGAACATGAACAGGAGAGATGTCAGGCATTACAAGGTCAGGCCCCTAAGAGGGCATAGCATGTTTGCCCCTTCCACATGCATTCCCCTGGACACAGCAATCCATTCTCAATCACAAGCCCACAGGAAGATGGAGTTCAAAGAAATGGAAGAAACTTAGAACCCTGGATTACCACATGGAAGAGAGCTTCCCACTGACCTGGAACCTGTCCTGGAGTGACAGGAGCAAGAAATGAACTTCTATTGTATCCGAGTTATTAGGAGATATTTACTACAGCAGTTTAGCCCACTCAACTATTACAATCTCTCTGTGCCTCAGTTTCTTCACCCATTAAATGGAATAACACCACCTACTCTGAAGACACTTGTAAGGAAGAAATGAGATGATGCCTATGAAGTGTTTAGCATGATATCTGACGCACAGTAAGTACTCAATAAATGGCATAGATTATCTCAGCGTTAGTACATTACATAAAGGATTTTCTTGTTTTTATATATCTGCATTTATAGAACGTTTTACTTTAACCCCAACTTCTCCAACATTGCTATATACATTTTCTGAGTATGACTGTGAGAGAAATAAAATGAATTTCTTATAATACCATTGCAAATGAAACCAATGTTTGAAGAAGTATTAAAAATTAAGAAACTGAGGGGGAAACGGAATGGAGGTTGCCCAGAATAGAAGCGATTTTGTACTTAAGTCTTTTTCTTTAAATGTGAAAATGCTAAGATGCTATTGTTCTCTACACTAATTTCTATTTGATAAGGCAATCTGATTATTACCTGTCAATCCTTCAATAAAAGTATCCCAAACACAAGGACTGCAGGCGTAACCAAGCTTGATACTCTCCTTTGCTCTTTTCAAGTCCAAGAGAAAAAAGTACTTCTTTATGAACTGGCAAGCCAGAATTAGGCTTCCCAAAGACTAATGTAGAGGGGCCACTGAGAGACAAGGCGCAGAGGCAGAGAATGCGACAGGACACAGGTGACTGGGCAGTGAAGAGATGGGGACACAGAGAAGTCTAGAAATAGCAACAAAACACTTGGAGAGGCCTCAGCATGCTGAGAGTGAGAGGCGGAGACAGTGTGAGAGGTCTTATCTGCCGTGCTGTGGATATCAAAGGGGAGAGCCCATGCAGACCCTATACGCCCTGGCAGATTGGAGACCCCGTTATTGGTGAGGGGCCAGTCAGGAGACAGAAACCAGGCAGTAATTTGGAGGGGCTGGTTAACATAAAGAATTATTATATAGTTGCAGAAGATTGGCTATTAAGGGATAAAAACGAAGGATAATTCAGGACGGGCCCTCACAAGGCTGCCATTAAGGTCTTGTTAGAAAGTGTGTGGCCATGGTCCTTTGCTTGGCAGAGAAAGTTTGCTGGGTGCCACAAGTCAAAGTTGATGAACAAGAAGGCCCCCACTGAGGTGACAACAAAACTCGCCAGATGTTGCTGATGTCACTAAGCCACCATTTCCTGACATGTTTTGTTCCCGGGAGCTTTTGTAGAGCAGTGCAAATAAGGTGGAGAAAAACTGCCTTGGACCCGTTCCTCAGATGGCAGGGACAGAAATTGGTTTTCATTGGATTTGGAGGTGCTGAGAAAACAACAGAAGATCAAGGTGGCAGTGGCCGGAGCTGGATGCCACAGTCCCGTCCTCCCACGGCTGGGTTCCCTGCCCCCAGGAACAGAGACCACCGAGGAGCAAAACAAAGGGAACCAGACGCTGAGGACAGAGAAGGTAAGAGGACCCCACGGATGGCAGTGAGGGGCCTGGACACGGAAGGACCTGGAAATAGCACCCGTGCAACCAGAGGGGCCTGGACAGGGGAGCGGGTCTGATCGGGGAGGGGTGGGTGTGGGGCGTCTGTCCTGTGTCATGCTGAGATGGTCCCCCTACACCAAACCCGGGGGCCCGGGCTCCGCCCGCACGGGGGTGTCCATCCATCTCCCCTGGGGAACAAACGAGCAGTCCTTACACCCAAGACTGAGTAACACACACTTTTCAATAGTCAATCTCTTCAAGCATTTATTAGACACCTATTAGGTGTCCTCCACCAGCCCCCGGGGACAGAGAACTCAGTGACTGGGTGTCCCTGCCCTCAGGGGACTCACAGCCCAACTCCTGAGGGCAGAACAAAGAGGAAGCTCAGTACTTGTCAGGCAGGCCAGGGGGTCGGAAGTAGTTGGGGTCTTTGCCACTCCGGCCCCATTCATTGGCAGCCTGGTCAGCCTTTGAGTCCTCCACTCCGTGGCCACTGTCTCCATACTTAAAAAGGTCTGTGACTCTCTGAGAATTCTCTCTGGCATCGCTGGAATGGAGGGAAGCAGGTAAGAGATTAATCAGGGGCTGATGAACAACACCTCCACCCTTCCTATCTCTCCTCTTTCCAAGAAACTAATGAATCTACAAGAGGCCAGGTTTAGAGACGCTAAACACTGATCATTTCTGGGTACAGCCCAACTCAGCCTGGCAGATCCCCTTGTGCTGGGGAACCAGCACCCATGGGGGAGGGTGGAAATCACAGCTTGGCATGCTCAGCTCACCCATCCTTCCAACCCCAGCAGCTATGTTACCTGATCACTTTAGCAGCCCAGGCACCCCCAGGGCCCCTTTGTGCAGCATCATAGTTCCCCCGGGCATGAAAATATTTGTCGGAATTTTTGTAATTGGCTTCTCTCATGTCAGAGTAAGCTCTCATCATGTCTCTAGCCCCTGAAAGGAAAGAAAATAAAAGTGATCATCTCCTGGCAAAACAGAGAAAAATTTTCCTCCCAATGATTCTAAGATTTCAGTCTTTTGACAAAAACCTTTGAGATTATACTGGCTGAGATACATATTCCTTTACTTTTCACTCCCCTGGGTTAATGTTAGGAGAATCACACCGGGTGCAAGTTTTCTTCTTTTGATTCCATTCTAAGTACTGTTGCTACTTGGTTTTTGGCTGTGTGTGATGTGTATGAACAAGAGGGGGATGGTCTTTAAGGGATGCTTCGTTGTGCAATGAACCTCTACCTGGAAAGGGCAGGGAACCCTCTGACTGGGGCGTGAGGACAAAGGCAAGTCTGAGGGAGGCTGCTGACCCGGAGGGCTCCCAACCTAGTAAAGGGGAGCGATTCAGCGCTGTGGGCAGCGTGAAGACAGCTCAGTTCTGTGTACATCCGAATGTCTGGGGCAAATGTGGCACCAGGAGACTGTCAGAACTCAATCATCAGGTGATAAAGGTGAATTCTCCCAAGAGAGCTTCACAGCATCAAATGCAGAGAAAGGGCAACTACCCCAGCTCTAAAGTTCAGCGTTCTCCCCAGGAAACTGAAGAGTATTGCCCTCTACACAGTGCTTATGCAGACAAACTGAGAAAATACACGTGTAACTTCTAGAAGGTTGTAGGTGCTCACTATGCTATCACTTCTCTGGGCCTTAGGAAGGCTGGGACAAAAACAGTAAAGGGACTAGGCTCAGAGGAAGACCGGAGAGTTACTGACTGAAGGAATCCGATCAGGCTACAATAAGATGAAGACTTTCAAAAAGTAACTTAATAAGCAAAAGAGAAAAATCTACTGTCAAGTTGTAATCCTAGTTTAATATCCATGCGATCCCTTATCTCCATTTTATGCATTTATTAATTCTGGTGTTTAGAAAGAGCATTCTTATTGAACCTACTCCCTCCAAGTTACAGATTTAAATAGGTGGCTGGAGGCCCCTTGCTTACGAAGTCCTTCCAAAATGCCTGACATACTGGTCCCTTGTGGGGGCAAAACTGGAGGCAGTGGTTCCCAAGCTTGAGTGGGCACAAAAAGCCCCCGGGGTGCTTGGTAAAGGCCAGATTTCAGGCTCAGCCCCGAAATGATGATTCAGCAGAGGGGGGTGTGTGCTCCCAGCATCTGCATTTCACAAAGCACCCCAAGCCCCAGGCGATTCTCATGCACGCGGTCCTAGAACAACCCTTTGAAAAACCTTGACCTAAAGATGGAAACACATTTGTAGTGGTGCCTGTGAGAATTTAGAAAGGAGTGACAGCAAACTCTTAAAACAGTCATCAGTGACTCTCACAGAAAAAGAAAAAGAAAAGAAATGATTTTGTGAAATACACAAATCTTGCCGCTGAGTCTGACTACTGAGGCGCATGTCTCTTGCTCTCCTGCGCAGCCAGGTCTCAGGCCCGCAGAACCTGCATCATGGAATCCTTGTGCCTTTCGTTGCGGGGAGAGGAGCTCTGCAGAGTGGCCTTCCGCCTCTCCCACAGCCTGACTCTCTGCCATTCACTCAGATAAACAAGAGGGTTGTGTGTTCCCAAACCCCGCAGTCGGCCATGCGCTCTCTGCTGTGGGAGGCAGGACAGTCCTGTCCTAGCAAAGTCTGGGGGGGCTCCACCACTGGGGTGAACCCTGCTCTGCTTGAGGACTTTGTCAGACGCTTCATCTCTTTGTGCCTCAGGTTCTCTGTTAAGGGGTGATGGTGCCTACATCGCAGGATCACAGATTAAAACCTGAGGATGAAAACCAGTTCATCCATCCACGTGAAGCTCTTAGAACAGTGCCTAGCACGGGCCAAGCTCCGTTCATCTTGGATGGGATGACTAAGTGCACAAGTTTGAGGCACCCCTTCCTGGCTGCCTGAGACCCAGCCATGAGCTGTCCCTGCTTTCCCACTAGGCGGCACTCGACTCCCACTTGTAGGAAGGGAGCCGGCACCCTGGACCCCACATCTATCTCTTCCTGCTCCTGCTGCAAGTTGAGGCCCAAACTTTATGTGACCTCCAGCCTGGGGATCTCCATGGAAGAGTGCACTGCCGCCCAGAAAAGCCAGGGGTGGAAGGATAGGACACCTGTGGTTTAAGGGGAAAAGCCACACGCAGTAAGTAAGCCCTAGAGACTTAAGGCACAGTATAATGAGCACCAAACAATATTGTATCATAATTATCAAACGTGCTATAGCCTAGAATTGAAGTATTTCAATGACTAAAAGGAAAGGGAAATTATGTAACATGAGAGAGGTGCTAATTATAGCTACAAAGGCAATCAGATTGAATATAGGAATGCATCAAATTAACACGACATACACCTTAAACATACATGATGTTATATGTCAGATACAGTTCAGTTAAAAAATCAAGAAATAGAAAGCCTGTGAAACTGCTATCTTGAAAACCACACTTCTTCGCGTCCCACTTGCGGCCTTTGCCCTGTGTGGATGTGGCCTCTGCTCTGGGGAATCCTGGAGGGAGGCCAGGTGCGGCCTCCCCCTGACCCCCATGCTTTGGGCCTTACCTTGACCAGCTTCCCTGAGGAAGGTTAACCAGCTTTGGCTGCTGACGCCCAGGACCAGGGAGCACAAGAGGATGCCCAGGAATAGCTTCATCCTGCTGCAGAGTCAAAGAGACACACAAAGATGATAGGTGTTTAGTTTTGCTTTGGATTGGTTTTTTCGGGGAGTAATGTTGATCCGATCTTGTATTCCAAAACTAAGCCACACTCAATAGTATCTATATCTGTAGATCTACACACACATACACACACACACGTGTGTACATATATACCTGTGTATGTACATATATGTGTATGTATTATATGTAGAAAGAAGTAGACAGTGCGTATACATATATTAGGCAGGTGATACGCAGATACATAGAGAGAATTCCAGAGGGTCCACGTGTCCATTTCCACTTGCCTCATTGGAATCCCAGTATGAGAGACTGCACTGCGCTTCTAATATAAACCACTTTCCCTTTCAGGCATCACCTGTGGCCCTGACACCCACTGTAAAGAAAGCTTCCAAAGAAGCATCTGGGCATTTTGTGACCATATACCAGTCTGTCGAATGAGATGAGTGAAACAATGCACAAACCTTTGCAGAATGCCTGCTCTACCCATCCCTGAACTCTCACCGAGGAAGTGCACGACTAAATCCCAGTCCCAGAAAGTATTCACATCTGCTGAATCCTAATTGTCAGGCTAGGAGATGCAGGAAGGAAGCAGAGAGCTGGGACATAGCGCAGGAATGCCGTGGGGAACGGGAGTCTGCAAAGAGAAATCGTGTTGGAAAGTTCTAGTACCTCACCTTTGGCTGTTGCTTCCCAAGGAGGCTCCTGGTGAAGCTGAGCTGCCTGCCCCTCCTGCCTGCTAAGGGTGCCCACAGTATATATACTGACGCTTTGCTAGGGGAATGAAGCGGAAGCCAGGTTTGAAGCAAAACACTGAGATTTGGGAAATTCCCCTTGGCCAGAACACAGCATCCAGAATATCGGCCTCTTTCTTCATGTCCATCTAATTTCCCAGGTTGTGCAATCTGGCAGCTTCCAGGAATGTAGCAAACGTGGGGTTTTCTGCCTGTTTTCAGTCTCACTCTTGGTGAGGAAAGGTTTCCTTCCACACACAATAATGTATTGACAATGGGTGTGAAGAGTAATCAATATTAGAAAAGAGATTTGATTGTCTCAAGAATGAGAGCGTAGAAGCCCAATGGAAGAGCAGTCTCCATTG